GATTGGTTGTTTCTCACTGAAAGTTAATCTTTCATCTCTTTGTGGCTGTTTCTTGAAGGTCAGATCATCTATCTGCTAATTGTATCCACCTACGTCAATTCTACTGTGATTGGTTGTTGAGTCAGTCTTTTTTCTTGTTTTCACATGACCAATATTGGGGACATAAACATTGACGTAAACTACTGTCTATCAATTTGGCTAGCAGACAGCTCTCACCATAATACTATCATAGTTCTCCCGTTAAGCAGATAGATAAATATCGCAAAGAGGAGGTAGGTGCACATGTCCTCCGTTTACTTTCTAATCGTACAACCTATGTACACCACTATTTGGGTATCACGGCTTTCCAGTTTTCTTAGGTGGATTCAGAGGTATACGCCGAACTTGGAAAAAAGCCTTTACCATGAAAAATTTGTGAATGGAACTTACCCAGGAAGGAATATGAACACATCACCACGAACGAGAGGATTTCTGGTGTATGACCAAAATCCATCTGTCATTTCAGATCCTTTGCTGAGGGTCACTGAACTGTGACCAACGTTCTCATACAGTAGTACGTTAATCTTTAGTTCCGTGTACTACCCAGTTTCGATAAACTAGTTAGTTTCCGGTGTTACTGAACTTGTAGAATTTCTATCTATCAAATCGAAGTGTGCGGACTTTATTGCTAAGGCTGAGATCTCTAAATTCCCGGGTTTGTGTCGTCCTTTTTCTTCTAAGTAACCCTACTTTTCTTGGTAGTTATTTTTAAATGTTATTTATTTTTCTCAGTGTAAAAAATATTTGATCAGGAGATTTTGACGAACAATAAGGATTTCATCCCTAAATCCATTGATGTCTTCCCCTGCATAATCTAATTCTACATGTGAGTTGGAGCCTGTAATTCTACCACTGAAACTTTAAAACTTCTGTGGAACAGTCTTCTGAAAACCGACAAACACTTACAGTTGGCAATAAAGCACACATATTGTGTGAGGGCTGGTGGTACTAATTGACTGCTCAAACCTCGATAGGTGTAGTGGGGTTACGAACTTGTGACCCACTGACAGGAAATCGAGTGCCCTAGCCAGTGAACCCCAGTTTCATTCCCTCCCTATTCATGTCCACATCGACCTGATTGCATTCAGGGCGATGTAAACTCAGGCATCAGTTACGGCTTAACATCTCTCAATGCACATAACGTGTAACACCAAAAACAAATAATCAAATCTTTTAGTAACTCGATTGTGAAATTCAAAAATTAACGTTGATAAGTGCTACAAATATGACAGTCAAGCTTATTATGTTTTAGTGATGTGTTTAACTTCGACAACTAGTTATTTGCATATAAAATACTAGTTTTTACAAGTATTAGTTGCTGACATGTACTGAAACCCTGCACTAGAAGAGTTATCAGAGACTTTTACTGGTAAATCAAGACTAAGCATATTGACAAACTATGAAATGTTGGTTCGCATCCTACAGTGGTTCGTTTTCACCTTACCTACCAACGACAAATAAAAATTAGGGTAATGTGAACTTTCATTTACTACCGATAGCGTGTACGTATGTTCCTTGGAACATTCTCCGAAGAGTAATTCTCTTGATATCTTAATCTAGATAATATGTTCTACTGATAAGTAACACAATAATCGATCAGTCAGAGTTGTCCGCATAAGAGGGAGTAGAAAATTAAAATATGTTGACCAGTGTAATTACTAAAATGTCTCGATACTTCGCATTGACTATTCGACTAATTTATAGGGTGAAAACAATGATGTGGCTTTGTCCTTTTGCATAAAAGACTCGGTAAATTATAGTGCAATTTTTATACTACTTTATATTAAAAGTAGTACTAATTTTTAGATAAAAATTCAAACTTTAAATGTCAAGTGGCAAAGCCTTGTAACCAGAAGGTCCTGGGTTCGAATCCCGGTGAGTGCGTACTGTGAGGAGTCCCAAAATAGGACGAAACAGCTGTCCAGTACTCCCAGGTTCTCTAACTAACTAAATAATTCAAACTTTAGTTTTTTAAGAGCATAGTGACCGACATTACCTTAACACACTTGAGTCAAAGAAACTCAAATCATAATGGACGAAATCCTATTCGTCTCGTTTCAAATTGTCGGCATGAGGAAAATTTCGGCCTGCGTATTCAATAAAGTGCGGCAGATAGCTTCATTTAAGCTATCAATGATCACCATTGCTTCTCATATTATTATTATTGTTCCCTTGGGTTCCTAGTGGAACATAGGGCTTCAACTGCACGTCTCCACTTGCTTCTGTCTTCTGATGTACTTTTCACTAGAATCCATGTTAGTCCATACTATTTCAACTCATCTTCACACGATCTCCTCCATGTCACCCTTGGATGTCTCACTCACCGCTTCCCTTTCGGGTTCCACTCGAGCTATGGCCTGACGCGCGATGTCACCCAGTGGCCTCCTCAGTGAGTGTCCAATCCATCTCCACTTTCTCCTGCATATTTGTTGGGCGATTGGTTCTTGTTTTGTTTGTTCCCAGAGTTTCTTGTTGGTGATTCTTTCCGGCGGCCATCTGATCTTCAGTATAGAGCGAAGACAGTTATTGATATAGGTCTGCAACAGGCTGTTGGAAATATTCTTTGTGACCCGCTGGCCAAGTTTCTGATCCATCCGTATAGAAGAACTGACTGACTTGACGTTTGTATTGAAAATCCGAATCATTTTGTTGTTGATGCAGGCTGAGTGACGAAGATTTCCAGATTGGTTTCAGGTTGATGAATGTGTTTCTCGCCTTCCCGATTCTCGATTTGACATCCTCGTCCGTTCCTCCTGTAGTTGAGACAATGCTCCCTAGATAAGTGAATGAAGTAACCTCTTTCAAATCCCTCCGATTGATGGTGATTGTCGCTGTATGTTGCTGCTGCTGTTGTTGTTGGTTGGTTGGTTATTTTCATAACCTCCGTCTTGTCTATGTTCACCTGGAGTCCTGTCTTTGCTGCTTCTTCGACCAGTTTGTCGGTTTTCGCTTGTAAGTCTTCGATTTTGTGTGACATCAAACATAAATCATCCACGCGCGAAATCCAGGTCTCCTAGATTCTTCGCGTCGGTCCAGGATATCCCTGTCTTCTCGTTTCCCACTGTCTGACGCATAATCCACTCCACCACAATTAGGAATATCATTGGTGATGATAAGCACCCTTGTCTGACTCCTGTGTTTACTCCAAACGCCTCGCTGAGTTTTCCGTTGTGGATCACTTGACATGTGCCGTTGTCGTACAGCTGTTGAATAAGGTTGATGAATATTTGAGGTACGCCGTAGTACTCGAGTAGTTTCCAAATTACTTCGCGGTCAACGCTTTCGAAGGCCTTCTCAAAGTCTATGAAGTCGAGGTAGAGGTTTGATTGCCATTCCATGCTTTGTTCGATGATGATGCGTAGAGTTGCAATTTGGTCAGAACATGATTTGCCTTTCCTGAATCCAGCTTGTTCTGGTCGGAGTTCTGTATCCAGTGCGTCCTTGATTCTCTCCAGGATGTTGCGACTCAGGGTTTTACTTGGTGTCGACAGGAGCATGATACCTCGCCAGTTCTTGCAGAGTCCTAGGTTGCCCTTCTTTGGTAGTTTCACTAGGTAACCTTTCTTCCAGTCAGTAGGCACCTTTCCCTCCTTCCAGACCTTTTGCAATAATGGAGTCAACATATCTGCTGTCGTCTCTGGGTTCGCTTTCAGTGCTTCAGGGGGTATTCCATCTGGTCCAGCTGCTTCTAATATAATGCATACCATCTTGATTCTTTTTGATTTAAGTGCAAAACACAGAATAAGCCTTTAAAAATACATAAATTTATCAATAATATTTACTCATAAATAGAAGTCAAGTTATAACTCATAGACACTTTGCGAATAAAGCAAAGCAATAGTTCCTTACTAATTCACTCTCTAAGCAAGTAGCTTCATAAATTGTACAAAAACTACAATAATGCCTAATTCTGTCATTAATATGCCAAATGTTATTCAATATGCTTCGACAAATAGGATACAAGAATAGTGCGAGTCATATCACACAAAACATAGTAGTGATGGTCCACTTTCGAGTACCTGTATTATTTACCGATGCAAAAAAATTCCAAATTAAAAACAAAACTAACAAAGACAACTATGACCTTTTAGGAGGTAAAATTCGCTAACCCGTTATGTAATATTAAACAGGAGAAAAAATTGAGCAGTTATTTTTTTTGACGGATATATTGTTAATGATCATAGCTACTGAAATATGTAATTAAAGCACAATAGAATGAAGGTTTGGCTCATCATTGGCCTTAAGCATTCAGTTTCCAGCCAATTAGTCCAAGGTTCGAGCCACTCTCTACTTAGTCATCGGACACCAGGTAGTACCAAATGTCATACGTCTAGTCTCCTTAGTGTTGGTGCAGACTGAATACTATCAGTAAAGTTTGCATTGTGGCCAACATGCTGTGTGTCTCGTCATCATGGTGCACTCTGAATTGTTGTTAGATGATTGGAAGCAATTGGCAGGCAGCCCTGAACCTAAGTCTTATGCTTGTTGGTATTCGTCTGCGAAGCGTAATCCGAAGGGACTGATGTCCCCCTTCTGAGACTCCAACGCAGTGCTGTAGTCAGAGGCGTTACCACTGAGATATTCAACGATTCCTTTAAAACTGCTGGTACTCCTTGCTGATGGGTGCCGACAAGCACGAAACCTAGGCCCAAGGAATTCTATCGATTGCCTCCAACCATGAAACAATAATAATCCTGGTACGTGTGAAGTATATTCGAGTGACAGAGCTCATGCGTATTTCTTTAAAAGAGAAAACTTCAGAACTGTTGTTTACGCGACCAAACATCAATCTATAGACTAGACTTGTAGGCTAGGATAATTAATGCAGTTTTCGCTGCTACTAAAAATCCACTTAAAAATTAGTTTTTTCAATGATTACCAAGACATATTACTACCTTTTAAAGAGTAGTAATGGTGGATATGTGCAAAAATTGAAATGAAAAGTCAGAAAAATGTATACATTTCTTCCGAATAGCCTTTATTACAGATTCTTTCTAACACATATATAGATATCTATGAATTTTGGTAAGTTATTGTAATTTAAAATTCACACCAATTGTACAAGTCTCCTTGATTTCACTTTGACAAAAAAATAACAACACCAGTATTAATAATGACTGAATGATTGAAGATAAACTGACCATTCAGAAATGCAAAAATAGAAAATAAGACTTATCAACCTAGAAGAAGTATCATGAACTCTCACATCACAAATAAACCTGTTCATAAAATAATAGGAATAAGGAGATCTGGAAACATCTGAATAGGTATAGATAGTTTGTGAACAAACAAAAACTCCAGAGATCGACATGTACACTAATAAATAATTCAAAGTTTTTTTACACTTTATTAAACAACCACTTCCATGAATGAACATGTATCACATCCAATACATAGTAATGTGATCATTTCTTTAGAAATAAGATCTTCACTGAGACTACAAGATTGCATATTTGACTGACACTGTGTATTCTGATCAATAAGCCAAGCGTGTAAGGTGTCAGAACAACCGGAGGCATTATGTTTCTTTTCAGCATCGGATAAACTATCACCAATCGTTGAAAGATTGAGACTATCAGTCTGGAGAGAGAGAGAGGGAGAGGCAGGAGAGGGAAAAAAAGAGGAGAAATTATTGCGAAAAATAAAATTGTGAACTATGGAGTATGTTCTGTGTTAAGAGATTAAGATGGACGGATGGAAACTATGCACTGATACAGTAACCTTATTAGATAGTTGGCGGGAATCGGCAGGAAGCCTTGGACTTATGTTTCGTCTTTGTTGGTACTCATCATCAGCAAGGTGTATCTGCAATTCTGAAGGGATTCATGTCAGTTGTGAGATTCGAATGCGCTTCATTCAGCGGTGCAGGCAGATACATTACCACTGAGCTATTCGAACTCGCCTCCTGTACGATAATTTTATTGGATACAAGTTAGTAACCAGTATCAAGTGTCTAGTCCTTTGTTTGGTGCAGAGTGAATTCTGTCAGTCAAGTTTTCGATGTACAAGTATGACATACTAACCTGATTGGACAGTTTTGATTCGTTTATGGCCTAATTTTTTTGGGGTGGGGGGCGGGGAGGTTCGATGTCAGACAACCAATCCGATTTGTTTACTCATGGCTTCAATTTCTGATGGTTTTGTAAGCATAAGATAACCCTTTGGCGTTTGAAACTAAGGGTACTAGGTTCGAGCCTCGGTGGGAACATCAGCACTCACTGGGAAATGCAGATACATGCAGATGACGAGTCCCAAACAGGACGAAATGTGTATCCTGGATTCCACTGCTAGTCACCATCCCCACAAATTAAATTTTTTAATAAAAAATTGTCGTTTTACCCAGTATGACTTCTGTGTCTATCTCAGTGTGTCAGATATCTCCAAGTGAACAGTTGGTTATAAGTTTAGTGTACATCTAAAGATGAACCAGCAACCCAGAATCACTCCATTATAACATGGTATTATAACTAATTTGTATCACTGTCCTGTCATCACCTCAAGTCTGTCTAGTCGTCAATTTTAGTTGTGTTGCATACATCCAGAAAGATAACACAGCCCACAAGGAAGAATCTGACAGTTTCTTTAGTTATACTTTGAGCATTCTTACTTCATTAACTTAACAAGAAGTACTACAAGCTGACAGCAAATTGCCTACATTTATCTACTCTTATTTCCTTGATTGAAGTACAAAGAAAGTGAGGAAAACCTTACTTTCTTCCAGACTAGTTTTTGAAATACATAAAACAAAATCCATTATCTCTAGAGTTGATTGATATCATTCATTAGACGAATCATTTTATTGGATAACTAATTCTAATAGTTGCAAAGTTTAATATCTATTGTTATTACTCCCTTGGGTTTCGAATGAAACAGGGCTTCAGCAGCACTCTCCATTCCGTCTTGTTCCCTACAGTTTCTCTTAAGCTGACTCGGCGACTCCCCATAAACCGTCATCTCTTCCATGTCACACTAGGACACATGCCCAGCTACTCGTTTCAATTAACGGTCCCCTCAGTGTGTGTTTAATCCACCTCTTTTTTTTATCTGTATATTCATTTGGTGATATTTTCTTGACCGGTTGTTCATCTGCCAGAGTTTCTTGTACTCTCCGGCTGGCCATCTGATCTTCAGTGTAAAGTCAGCTATTTAAAAAAAAGTTTGAAGCCTGTTAGAAATACTTTTATTGAAGAGCCAAGTCTCTATATCATACAGTATTGTAAGTGTAAGTATTGAAAATCTGAATCTTTTTCCTTATGCTGAGTGCAACAGATTGCTACATCGATTTCGGATCAATGAACGTTTGTGTTGCTTTTCTGTTCCTGTCTTTGATATATTCTTCACTCGTGCCACCTAGAAAAGTGAAACAAATGACTTTTGTTGGTGGCTAAGCAATATTTCATCACCTATGTCTTTTTATGTTCGCTTGAAGTCATGTCTTCACTGCTTTTTTCCTGTCAACTTATTGGTTTCTGCTTGTAGATCTTCAAATTTGTGTGACATTAGAGTAACATCACAAGCAATTTAGCATCTTCTTGTCGGAGCAAAGTTTGCCTATCTTCTCGCTTCCCCACAGCCTGCCCCATATGATCCAGTCCACGACAATCAGGAATATTTAGAAAAGGCTCATTCATATAGAGCCATTCCATAGTGAAACTGTGAACTTATTTGTTCGTGGTTCACTACACAACAAAAGTTGATAATTAGAGACTTCCGAGCATACGGAACACCAAGTGAAGTGCAGTCACCGCATTATATAACACAACACTATATATTACAATATTTTAGTATTCAATGTTATCGGCAAAGCAGTACAAAGGTGCTACACAGCCAGCCTAGAATGATGACTTTACAAGTTGATTACAAATTCCACACTTCCATAAAGTGACATTTCTAACAGGTAAATAGTTTCGAAATAATAGAGAAGATTTGTAGCTCAGGTGGATGATTTGCAATTAATAGTGTTCTCTGAGTTGGTTGCAGAGCTTTCGTCGTCCTTCTGGACAACATCCCCTTTCAGCGCAATATTTAGCATAAAGTGAAATGATTTAAATTTCTTCATGAGTGATATAATTGTGTCTCCCGGTAACCATCTTTACATATGTATTGACTATTTTCTATTGACTTGGATTTTAAACTTTCTCGTCACCTGATAATGTCAAAATCTTAGACAGAGGAAACACCAAAAGTGCAGTCAGGGAATTCCTAGAAGCCTGGTACTCAAACGAAAATGCAATTAACAAACATGTTAATATAGACGAAATATACTAACTAATAAAAAGTAAATCAGGTGACCAGAAAGTTTAAAATCCAAGTCATTAGAAAAGGGGCAATACATATGTAAAGATGGTTACCGGGAGACGCAATTATATCACTCATGAAAAAATTTAAATCATTTCATTTTATGCTAAATATTGCGCTGAAGATGTTGTCCAGAGGGACGACGAAAGCTCCGCAAGCAAACCAACCAACTCAGAGAACACTATTAATTGCAAAAGGTAAACAGTTCTTCGATTACCTCAACCATAATGTAATCCTTAAAAGCATGACACTATGCAATTCCTCATCTTTACGCCATGGTTTGCAGGCACAATCTTTTATGTGGCTGCTCATCATCAATTCCTATTCATCTGTGGTAAATTCATCTTTCCGCCCTTAGGTACTCACTATTGATACAGACTTTTATCACCAGCTGCCATCGCTGGCTTTATACTGAAGATGAGATGGCCAATCAGGAGGAATTAACAGCACGGAACTCTGGCAACGAACCAACCAAGAACCCATAACGCGACAAATATGTTGAAGAAAATGGAGATGGATCGGATACGCGTTGAATGACATCGCGTACCAGATAGGACCATTAGTGGAACCTGAAGGGGCAAGGACAAGTTGGGCCTAGGTCTGAGCAGGAGATGAGAGCCTACGACCAATTGTGGAGTCAACTAAAAACGACAGCAGCAAACGGGATGAAATGGAGACATTCTGTTTGGGTACTATATTCCGCCCAGAACCTAAGGGAGAGATAATAATAATGATAAGTGAATCCCTAATTTGGACTGTTACATCATCCGTTTCGACCTGTGTGCAGCTGGGGATCTATGAATTGTTGTTCACATAAAAACGCAAGGGTGAATCACTATTGTAATAGGAATACACTGCATCAACAAGTATGAAAACAAGGAGAAATTAAGACAAATCAGTCTGCATAGTTACAGAAAATGTACCATAAAATAGGACAGTTGATGTGTTAGAATATAAGTATAAGAAGGCACAGAAAAATTACAATCGGACAATTTAGGCGTAATGCGTATAATGTTAGAGGCATAACTATTATCCAACCATGACATTTTGCACATACCTGAGTATCCAAATTTAATTTACACGAAGGACAGGTGAGAACTGTTCCTGACAACGATAAATAACCACTACAAATAGAAAACAAAATGGTTTACACTGATATCAGATCAAATTGATAATGCTTGCGCGTTAACTACACTTCATAGAAGTAAGAAATCCGATTATCACATGGATTATTTCTGCATATTGGTTTAGCAATGAAATCTTCCCATTTTAAATTAAAAAGTCATTCATGATTGGAGGAGACAGGATAATCTCTCGATGATCACTTCGAAAAGTTTACCTACAACACTGTGAATAAGTTTTGCGATTCAGGCAATATAAGTGTATCTTAGTAGAGTTAACTATTCATGAATTGATTCTGGAGATGAATTAAATTTCCTGTCTACTTTAGTAATTTTCTCTGTCAAAAAAAGTATTTCTGTATAAAATATAGTTTGACAGGTAAGATAACATTTTAAAAATAAGTGGTAGTGTTGCTCTACCACATAAATAGCTCTATACACGAATTCCCCTTTATATATTTGAAAAGAGATAGAACAAACATTCGGGGGTGCAGAATAACATGGATCCAACTTATTTTGTCGGCTGGCGAGTAAACTACCGCTACACCACCAAAGCACAATTTCACATACATCATACTTATTTAAATATTCCCATAATGATAATTACAGAACAAGATTTAAGCAAATACTCATTTAAGTAACTTGAAAATCCCCATTCAGTCATATAAAAGAAAAGAAGGCGTTCAGCGAAGAGACTCTTTTCGGCGAATTCATTCACTTAGCTGTACAATCGCATATTTATACCATTTTGTTTGTGTGTGTGTACATTAGATTTATAAAGTTTAGATAATTATGTAATATAAGTAATTTTTGGCTTGGAAACAAACGTTAAGATGGAAAATAAAATAGAATTGATTAAGTGAGTAGAATTCAGATGAGGTCAGGTTGGAAACAGTGTTAATGAGTGGTGTTTAAAATCAAGTAAGGGTGGGGTTAGAGAATAATACAGTTGAAAATAAGTAAGTTAATCGGATGACGTAACTCAGTTGACTAGAAATTGGACGTGGGTCAAGTTAGTAACATTGTTAATGAGGGTAGAGATTACAAAAGGGTGGGGTAAAGAATAATATAAGTGAAGATGTGAAATAATAAAATGCAAGAGACAAAATAATACAATTAGTAAGACTGAAATTAAGAAAGATTACGTCCATTGTAGATTTAATGAATGAACGAATTTCTTTTGTATGCAAAGTTCAGGATTTAGCAGATGAATTGCCATTGCTTCTGCGATGTGGAGAAGTTTGATCCGTACACTTTTAGCAAGATTGCCTTGTATTCTGTAGATAACTTTGAAGTTTATTTCTGGTTTGACTTGGTGTCCAGAGTCGATCAAATGTTCAAGGATCGAGCTGCGGGGGCATCGGTTTTCTCCTTTATAAAACCATGAAGGTAGATGTTCGTTGACGCGTTTGGATAGCGAACGCTGAGTACGGCCGATATACCTGGCTCCACACGAGCAGGTGAATTGGTAGATGCACATAGATGAGGCCAAAAGCGGTAGCTTATCCTTCACGGACATACGAATCAGTGGTCTCGCGGAGAACGTCAGTCGTAATTCAGCTGCAACGAAGGTTTTCTTCAATGAGCGGGAGAGCCGATTTCTCAGTATTTCTGTAGATTGGTCTCCATTGAACTGTAGGTTCATATAGAGAAGTCTTTTTGGAGCACTGGGTGTGGACGGCTTCTCTGGTCTGGGTTTCATTGATTTTGTGATAAATCTTTCTGGATAGCCATTTTCAAGGAGGATTTTCTTAAGAGTGTTCATTTCATCTTCTATGGCGTCCAGGCTGCAAATTCTACGTATTCTGTGGCTTAGTGAACGGATTAAGTTTCGTTTAGTATATAGAGGTACCCAACTGTGGAAGTTAGTGAGCTGTCCGGTAAATTCTCATCAGGCTTTACATTTACACAGTGAATTTTATTCATAGGCATTTGAATTAGTGTGGTTTATAAAATATAGGGTCAGAGGTGTGAATTAATAGATAATAATCGAGGGGATCATGATAATAATAATAATAATAATAATAATAATAATAATAATAATAATGATAAGGATAAATTCATTTAAGTGTGTATATATGTAATCTAGGCAGTGGTGAGTGTATAGGTAGAATAAGCATACTAGTAGGGGTAGAGGGGAAAATAACCATTGTCACATAGCGATTACATAATATAATAATAATAATACTAAGTTTTGAAACCGAGAATAAAATGTACAACTTCAGCACAGCATGATATTGATAATACAGTTAGCAATACAAATAAAATAAAAGAATATAATAAGATAATATTTGCAGTTATCCGGTGTCACCGGGAGAGATAACTATTTTACGTTGGTGGTGAAGGCCAAGGGAGGGAGAGAGATATTGAACAAACTTTTTCTGAACACAGAAATTGTGTTGAAAAATCATTATGGCAACTGCTTCAGCTATGCTTGGTAACTGAAGATGTACCAACCTAAGGGAGGTTGAGGTGGCACCCTGTATAGAATTGTAAAAGCTAAATTTTCGTCAATCTTATTCTCCGTATCCACTAGGTGTGCCAGTATGGGATGTCTAACTGACTTTACGACTCCTTTACTTAACCACGTTGGACAGCAATCCAGAAGGCGACGGTGTGCTTTCAGAGTTGTTCTACCTATGTAACGGTCTCCACATGAACAGTTAAATTTATAAATGTACACTGAAGTGGTCAGACTCGGTAGCTTATCCTTCAGTTGTGTTGGAATTATACAACAAGTGACGCATTTTAAACACAATGTTCCGGCAAAGAATGTTTCAGCTATTATCTTTTGAAGTATCGATGCCAGCAATTCAGTTGCTGATTCTCCTTTAAACGGTAAAGTCATGTATATGATGTGGTTCCTCTGCACAGTTTGAAGGCATTTCTTTCTATTTGTTCTCTTCATCGAGACTTTAACAAATTTTTCAGAGTATCTGTTCTCGTATAAAAAGTTCTCCATTTTCCTTATTTCATCATCTAGAGTGTTGGTTGTGCAGATTTTCCTAGCACGATACATCAAAATCACATTTTTAAAACTTTGTATTGCTAACTGTATTATCAATATCATGCTGTGCTGAAGTTGTACATTTTATTCTCGGTTTCAAAACTTAGTATTATTATTATTATATTATGTAATCGCTATGTGACAATGGTTATTTTCCCCTCTACCCCTACTAGTATGCTTATTCTACCTATACACTCACCACTGCCTAGATTACATATATACACACTTAAATGAATTTATCCTTATCTTATTATTATTATTATTATTATCATGATCCCCTCGATTATTATCTATTAATTCACACCTCTGACCCTATATTTTATAAACCTCACTAATTCAAATGCCTATGAACAATAGTTATTGTTTAATAAACGCGCTCAACTTAACCATCGTGCACTGAATACAAGCATCATCTGATATAATCCTCGAATATTTTCCACTTGGCTTTAAATGTTTCATGCTATCTTATGTCTATATTTATAAAATCATATACGTAAAAATAAATAAATAAATTCACAACTCACTTTCGGCATATAGGACAGACTACTGGATTCTCATCATTTGTATGGCAAAAATTTTCTACACAATTATCTGGATTAATCCAAAATTCTGGATTTAAATAATCATCAATTTCTAAAATAAGGAAATTATATTCATAAAAATTTTCAGAGTATTAGTTAACAGAATGTTTGCACCATGTTTGGTCAACTGTTAACGCATGTAAAGTAGACATTCGTAAAGTCCACTGATGCAAAATTGTAAGGCATGGTAAGTTTGGAGGTTTTCTAATGTTCAAACTATGCTTGTCTACTATTCAGGTCGGCTACGAAGTGTGCAGGGATTGGTTACCCAAGACGAGGCAACGGATGACCAGTAGGAGTGCTCCTTCCCTCTCATCTAATTGTATTGTGATTCGTTGTAAATATAATCCTTGACCTTGAGTCTTCGTTCTTACTAGCACGCGACACTTGTGTGATCACACTGCTAACGTGCGCTTTGCTCTCTGTTACAGATCATTGCTTGACGAGTGGGATTACAAATTGGTCAATGAACCAAGTGGCATGAACTCACCATTTAGGTTATTATGAATAATAATACATGCTATTTGAGTGGTTGCAAACGGCAGGACTGAACTACATCGACTTCTAGCTTAGAGATAGGGAGTGAAGTGTTTGGATATGTTGACCACTTCACCTATTTGGGGAGTTGCATCAACCCCAACGGGTTGATCGCTGACAACATCTCATCACGGATACAGAAGGCCCCTTTAGTATATGCCAACTTACGCCACCTCTGGCATAGTAGACGTGATATCCGGCTGTTAACCAAAGGACGTATGTATTGTGCAGCAGTTCACTTTGTCCTCCTTTATGGCAGTGAGACATGGACATTGAATGTGAAAGATATGAAAAGCTGAGCTACCTTTTACCAATAGATGTTTGCATTCTATTTCTCATGCCAGGCAGTATAATATGGTGCGTGATATTGAGGTCAGGCACAGATTGCTAGGTGAGGAAAGGAAGTCAATTGGTGCAGTTGTGAAGCTGGGAGATCGCAAAGACTGAATGCATCTACGTTATCGAACCATATCACTAATGGCCTCTAACCATTAGTTCGTAGCAACCTGAGGACCCCAATCCAAAGGTCTACACCTCTCTGTTTTGCTCAAACCAACTGCTAACGACTTTAAAGGTTGGTTCAGCCTTGTAACCCTATGGGTTGACCTACCCCCCTTAGCTAGCAATCTATGCCTAACAACAATATTGCTCATCATATTATATCATTTAACACGTGAGATAGAAAGCAAACACCCCAGACCAAAGACAGCGAGTCTCTTCATATTTTCCACTTTCAATGACCATTTCTCACAGACATGAAGGAGGATGAAGCAAATTGTTGCACAGTACAGACGTCCTTTGATGAACAGCCGTATATAACGCTTATGCTAGAGATGATGAGCCTTTTGTATCCGTGCTGAAAGTTCGTCAACAATTAGTCCATTAGGAATGATGGAAATTCCCAAATAAGTGAAGTGGTCAACACGTTCAACCATTTCACTGCCTATCTTTAATCTAGAAGTCAGTGCAGTCCAATCCAGCAGTATCAGCTTACATTTGACAGGAGCGAATCGTTTGTCAGACATTAGAAGATTTCTGCTCAATGTGTTCAGAAGACTGACGCCATACGTCAATGATAAAATGAATACTAGACTAGCCCAAGTGTACAATTGAGGCACTGCAGTAGAATATAATTCCATATTAGATAAGTTTATTTGGTATAACACATAGTGGTATTATAGTATTAATAATTGGATGACACTTTGAGCACAATTCATTGTTCATAGTCATATCATTGTATTCACACGGTTTCATAACTTGCTGTATATGAAGCCGTGCGAATACACCGGTATGACAATGAGCAATAAATTGTGCTCGAAACGTCATCCAAATATTAATACTGAATGAATAGCAATCCGTTGGCTAGCAGATGATGACTGGGAGAGAAAATTAGAGGATTTTAACAGACACATTTTGAAAGAGAAATATTCCAGAATATATATATATATTATTAATGACACTGACCTGTTGATAATTCGTCCAAAACTCTGTCTTGCAGCTCGATTAAACTATCCACATCTAATTGTTCCGTCTGTTTTCAAAAAGATTTTCAAAAAGGATATAATGAGTAACTTCAATTCATACGAAAAAGAAAACATTGATCAGTATGTAACAACAGAAAACAAGGGCCAGGCAACAGATCGTTTATTAAGGAAAATCAACACATATTTATAGATTTTAATGTACATCATTGTAGATTATTGTTAGCAGAAAATACAGTCTTTTGATTGGTTGTTTCTCACAGAAAGTTAACCTTGCATCTCTTTGTGGCTGTGTCAGATCATCTATATGCTAACTGTATCCGCCTACGCAAAGCCTATGTTCTCATTTTCTCACCACCAATATTGGGGACATAAACATTGATGCCAATTACTGTTTACCGACTTTGGCTAGCAGCCAGCTCTCACCACAAGTACAATACAAGTTGCTCAATCACACTGAACAACCTCTTGCATTGTCAAGCAGTTAGCAATGAGTCACACCTATTGGGCTAATGATACCACTTGGCTGCTGAAACCTCGATAGATGGGGAAGTGTTTGAACCCGTAACCCTATGGTTAGAGGTCTAGCGTCTGAACCAGTGGGTCACGACTCGACATACAGCAAATCAAGACTACCAAACCGAAATGAGCAATCATTACTTAGAGTTTCGGTTATCTGGGACAGATTTTTCGCATACTATACTTTTAACCACGTTAAACGATATTACAGTGCACCGTAATTTGTTATTAGATGTCAACAGTTAATTGTTAAGAAATCTTGGTAATATATTTTCCACTTGTTCATAATCACAAGTTAAGCGTATCCACAATCTTTTGGTCTGTTTATGCTAGAACTACACAAAAGGTACAGATGAATCGGAAGCTAGAAACAGATCATTAGTAATAGTGGGAAACTTTACTCGGTCATACTGTTAGAGCTTCTACATTCATTCTATATTATCCATCAATGAGAGGTAATCAAGAAAAAGATTTCTATATCCAACAGATATATATATAGAAACGAATGTTCACATAGAATGTGACTGACTGATTGGTTTCAACGTACAACTTTGCGCTGATGTGCAGTAGTTCAAGTTGCCACTCTCCCTCCATGTAGCACACAAAGCAAGAGAAGAGAGTAAAGAGACATTCTAAAGAGAGACTGCTAATAAACAGAATTACGAAAGGAAAAAAAACAGTACTATGGAAGAACAACAGAGCTTTATTGCATACTGTAAATCACAAAGAGTAAAATGCATCTGCATTAGCCGTTGAGAAGGATTTTAAGCCATTTAACTAATTGTCTCGAGCCATTGGCTTTTACAATCCCGAGGACCCCGAATAACCAGGAAGTCTACACCTCCCTACGTGACTGGCTGGCTTAAACTAACTGTTGTGGATTTCATTGACTGATGTAGCCATGTTTTGGTTTGACCACCACTAGCTTTCTCTTTTCCAACCAGATCAGTCCTATGTCAGCTAACATTGCCCGTTGTCGAGGAAGGCGATAGCTAGACATGCACAACACATGCCCTAACCATCTCAATCGATGTAACTCCACAACCTTGTCGATTGATTTCCCCTACTTACCTAGCACTCGACTGAGGCCTAACTTCAATATTGTTCACCCTGTTATACTAGCTGACACCTATGATCAAAGACAGATAGCTCGCCTTTTCATGTCTTCCACTTTCAATGGTTACGTCTTGCTCACAGCCATAAAGGAGGAACACATAGAATGTACTGATTTTTAGTAGTAGTTACATGGATAATATTCCCTTTATTCTATACGAGATTCATCAACTCTACAAGCACATCTCCACAATCACCATGTATACATAATTTTTTTTTCTTTTTTTCCTTCACGTTCCCCAGTGGAACATAGGGCTTCAAGCTAGTGACTTGAAGTTTCTGTAGCAGTGTTTATTTTACAGGATGGGGTTGCTGGCCTCATGCTCAACCTTCCCTCTTTACCAGTCTCACTACTGGATGAGCGAGGTAAAGGAGTGCGTCAGCCGGGGATCGAACCCCGGACCATGTGCATAGTCAGCGAGCGTCCTAACCACTATGCCACCAACGCACTGTATATATCATTAGTGTTATACAACTCAACTGGCATACATTACTGACATTTATCTGTTGTTCACAGTGATAACTTAAAATTTGTTATACTGATAGGAAGAGTCTGAAATTTAAAAAAATATAAATTTTCAGTCACCCGATCCTAAAGTAGAGTTTACGTTTCAAATTCAGATTTATGCATGAACAAATAAGGGAAGAACACATCGAGGAGGATAAAATGACGTCATTATATTTCGGTGGTTATTGACAGCTGCATATTTGAGCATATTCCAAGAAACTTGCATCTGAAAGGTGCAAAAGTCCTTAGTAGTAGTAGTCCTTAGTCCTTACCACCTGTTAGACAGCGGTTACGAAATCGCTGCATTATTATCCTTTAAGGATAAGTAAAGTTCAAGTCAGCTCCAGGTTACTACTTATCACTAAAGCGATTACCATTAAACGAATGAAATCGTTGTTAATTTCTCCTTACCTTACTTAGTAAATATACTTTACGTTATTTAATTGCTTCTTTCGTTAATTTCTGTTATTTTATCTATATTCTTGACCTGACCTCTCTTTGACCTATGTTCACCTAAATTATTATTTGACCCTTACATAAATGTATTGATTTTATGTCTCTATTCAGTGTGTAACATTCGTTCGCAACTCTAGAATATTTCTTGATTATTACCATACATACGAATGAGCTTAACAGCGACTTTTATTCTCTTCCAAATATGTTACTGAATCCCGTGATACTAATATCCATCACCTTTATGATCAATAACTACAGTAAACTGGAGGATGGTGATTAGCAGTGGAATTTAAGATGCGCATTTCGTCCTGATTTAGGACTCGTCACTGGATGTATCTGCACTCCCCAGTCAGTGAGTGATGGTGTCCCCACTGAGGCTCGAACCCCGTATCCATAATTTCAAACGCTAAGACGTTATCCACTAGACCACTTAGGCCGTGAGAGCCACCTCTTTCGTGTGCAACAGGTGTATCAGTAATTATTTGATTCAATTTGCACCTTCCTATTGATTGGTTGATTGAACCGAAGTGCTCGGCCTCAGGTTAAAACATGTCGGCTCTTTGTGCAGATGCTTCGACAATGTCTGATAACTATAGTATTTGAATACATTGTTCATGGTTATACACAGCTGACGAGACCTGGCGAAGTATAACGTGATTACATCTTGCTTAATGTGTTCTTATAGTTTTGCTCAGGTTTATCAAGGGAAATAACCATATGAGGTAGATTTAAACTGTTACGTGGACATGATAATGCTATCAGACAATTTTCGATCACATACAACTAATCAGATTAAGTTGATCTCTCACTAATCTAATGTAATTTTATGTGTATTTGGTTTATATATATATATATTATATATATATATATACATATGGATGCGTTCTCTGAACCAAGTGGTCTAGTTGCTGAGCTTCCATTGCCTTTCTAGGCAGCACCTTCAAGTGATCGATTTTCATCTCAAGTGTATCAAAAATTTCGAAAACTCACTCTACATTGAAGTAGGCGCTGAAAATGTTGCCTGTAAAGACAATAAAAGCTTCGCTATTAAACTATCCGGCTCAGAGAACACAATCACATCAAAAATGTTCCCCTGAGCTACAAATCCTCTCCATTTTTGTCTAATGAATGTGTCCTTACAGTCACAGGTCCGCTTTCGTCATTTGTGTATATTTTTGTAGATCAGTGAAGCAGAAGGTATCCATCAGGAAGAATAATGTTCTTCTGGCGCTGAGGTACATATTTGCATTCAGTATCTTCAATCAAGCCCACGCCTTAACTCACTGGTGTTCGTACAGTGTACCTTGACGCCTCCAACATTACGAAGTACTTTAAAAACCCACAACAAAAGTGTCTCAACACACCATATTTGCTGTAATCTTTTCTCACTTCTTTTTTTATCAATCAGATTCGTAAATCAAGGCAGCTCACACTTATTCCAAAGAATGATAAAAGTAATAAGAAGACAGGTACATACATACAGACACTTTCACTTACTTCACTATCAGCAATTAAACTTTTTAAAAGTTCACGTTTCTCCTGAAGAAGTATTTCATCGGTTAAATTTCTCGGTTCTGAATTATGAATATTTCTCAAATGATCAATAAATTCAGTTCGTTTTGACTTCATAGCCTCCATAAAACGCTATTTATTTTTTTACAAAAAAAAGTTATATAATGAAAATATAATTTTTGAAAAATGGGGGGGGGGGTTGGTCTATTTTTTCTTCACTTAAATACATTCAAAGTCTTGAATAATACTTTACAAGAAGTTTATAACATAAAAATGATAGAATAAAAATTGACTCAGTTACTTAACCAAATCGATATGGGACACAGTGCGCATTAAAGAAAAATTGCAGAAGATGGCCATATCAACGTGTGTCTAGAAATTCAAATGATTCTGTGAAGCTGGCTGGCTATATAGATCGTACTCACAGGAATTTATCTTTACGCACTCGTGAAAATGATCCAGTTTAGCTCGGAAAAGTGGTTATTATTATCATTTCTCCCTTAGGTTCCTAGCGGAACATAGGGCTTCAACTGCACGTCTCCACTTGCTTCTGTCTTCTGTTGTACCTTTCATTTGCATCTATGTTAGTCCATACTGTTTCAACTCCTCTTCACACAATCTCCTCCATGTCACCCTTGGACGTCCCACTCGCCGCTTCCCTTTCGGGTTCCACTCGACCACTGGCCTGACGCGCGATGTCACCCCGCAGCGACCTCCTCAGCCACGAGTGTCCAATTCATCTCCACTTTCTCCTGCATATTTGTTGGGCGATTGGTTCTTGTTTTGTTTGTTCCCATAGTTTCTTGTTGGTGTTTCTTTCCGGCCATCTGATCTTCAGTATAGAACGAAGATAGTTGTTGATAAAGGTCTGCAACAGGCTCTTGGAAATATTCTTTGTGACCCGCTGGCCAAGTTTCTGATCCATCCGTATAGAAGAACTGACTGACTTGACGTTTGTATTGAAAATCCGAATCATTTTGTTGTTGATGCAGGCTGAGTGACGAAGATTTCCAGATTGGTTTCAGGTTGATGAATGTGTTTCTCGCCTTTCCGATTCTCGATTTGACATCCTCGTCCGTTCCCCTGCCTGTAGTTGAGACAATGCTCCCTAGATAAGTGAATGAAGTAACCTCTTTCAAATCCCTCCCGTTGATGGTGATTGGCGCTGGATGTTGCTGCTGCTGTTGTTGTTGGTTGGTTATTTTCATAACCTCCGTCTTGTCTATGTTCACCTGGAGTCCTGTCTTTGCTGCTTCTTCGACCAGTTTGTCGGTTTTCGCTTGTAAGTTCTCGATTTTGTGTGACATCAAACATAAATCATCCACGTGCGAAATCCAGGTCTTCTAGGTTCTTCACGTCGGTCCAGGATATCCCTGTCTTCTCGTTTCCCACTGTCTGATGCATAATCTAGTCCACCATAATTAGGAATATCATTGGTGATAATAAGCTCCCTTGTCTGACTCCTGTGTTTACTCCAAACGCCTCGCTGAGTTTTCCGTTGTAGATCACTTGACATGTGCCGTTGTCGTACAGCTGTTGAATAAGGTTGATGGATATTTGGGGCACGCCGTAGTACTCGAGTAGTTTCCAAATTACTTCGCAGTCAACGCTGTCGAAGGCCTTCTCAAAGTCTATAAAGTTGAGGTAGTGGTTTGATTGCCATTCCATGTTTTGTTCGATGATGATGCGTAGAGTTGCAATTTGGTCAGAACATGATTTGCCTCTCCTGAATCCAGCTTGTTCTGGTCGGAGTTCTGTATCCAGTGCGTCCTTTATTCTCTCCAGGATGATGCGACTCAGGATTTTACTTGGCGTCGACAGGAGCATGATTCCTCGGGAAAGTGGTAGTGTCATTTTATCGCATTATCTAGTGGATAGTCGACACTGCATCAAAATAAATGAGCCATTTACTGTTGTATATCGAGTACCAAACAATTTCACCTGAAGGTACATGATTACGTCTTCTAGTCATGGTTGAAGCTACAGAGGTTAATAGGAATAAACCTGCCTATGTGTGCAAAAAAGTATATTCATCCTATCTGTTTACTCTGGCCTACTAAAAGCTCATCATGGACGTAATCATATCATATGCCTATGTCTTAATATGGCCTTCCTATTCCTTTCCACCTCAATTTACTTCACACCATTATTATTTATCAACCTTTGGAATTACACTGAATTTATCTTGTCTTGATTACTATTTAGTCAACGAAGGAAAATCAGGAAGTAGCAGTAGAAGTAGTAGGGCAACAGTAAAGAATAGACACCAACTTGAAACAGCCAATCAGATTCTTCTAGGTGAAAAGTGGTGCTTAATTTACAGGGAAGTGTATCTACGATATATATGTAATAAGAATGAATCATATAGAGTATATGTCTCTAATATGCTGCAGAAGCTGGTTCCAGGTTCGCATAGAAGTGGTTGTAGACATATCAAACCAATGTATCCTCTGTTTCTTCAGCTGTAACAGATACTGGTTGCATATACGCAATATATTACTGAGGAAGAGCTTTGATTTCGACATATTTTCCACAGAGAATTCGAAAACCAAATCTAGGAGATGTATTCAGCGAGGATTATTATGACTAGCAACCATTTTTAATTCTGAGCTATCTGATTGGTCAAATCAAGGTCATTTGACTTTGGTGTCTATTGTTTACTCTTGCTAGTAGTCGTTTTGAGACTTTGACTAACAGTCAGAGATTTCAGCCTTGACGGACTTGTGATGTGGCGTGACTTTACACTCTCTACTTTTACTCAGATTCTTATCCTTTCCAGATTATCTGGAGTTACCATGAGAGTTTAGAGTGGATATATTGAAATTAACTAACAAAGCAATATTTCGTGCTCAGATATAATTTCGAAGTTTTAAATTGAAGCTAGTGGATACATGGTAATGAATGAGTTGAGGATATTCACTATCGCAATTCGACTCAGTATTCGAATTGAAAAAAAACTAAGGACGAGAGTTTGTGCTACAATAACAAGAAACATTTAAAAAAAGATGACAGTTATGATAGATTGCTTGCTGATGCAGAAACAATACACACACACACGAACACACAACTGAAGAGAACCGATGAAATGAAATGGATCCATGTGTATTCTACCTGCTGTTTCAGAGATTATACGAGGGGCATATATGCATTGAAAAAGATTTATCTGATATTCACCCAGTTGAGTTGATTTTAGCCTCAAAAAGAATTCAAGATACTTCTTAAAGAGAAACAAGCATGAGGATATTGTCAGTAGAGAACCTAGTATTACACTATTGTAGTCCAATTTGTCACAATTCACATCAACCAATATATATATATTAGTGATAATAACAGTGAATAAGCAAGACGACATTACCATAGTAGACTCAAAGTGATTACCATTCCCTTAATTGTACAAGCCTCCGTAAATGCAATCACCTTTCTGTTTGTTTGTCTGCTGTTCTGACGGTACAAGTGAATATTAAATAACGACTCTCAAGGATATATTATCTAAGAATGGATATCCTGACAGGTTTATCATTAAATATTGTAAAGAAATAAGATCCAGTAGAACTGTTCAAACCCGTTTCAAGGAAAGAAAGCTGTATATATCGGTATGCCATTTAAGGGAGAAGATAAAGACTTGATAAAGCTATTATTATATTGCAAAGTTCGTGTCCCTTAACAACACCAAGCAGATATGCTTCAACAATCTGGAAAAGAACGATCTCCAATCCGTGACACTTCAAACTGCGTATATCAGTTCGAGCGTATTTATGGAAGCAAATACGTAGGTCGCACGAAAATGTGACTATGCACGCGCTTGATGGAGCACTTGACCAAGTATTTGAAAAAAGTTGACACCATGGTACCTAAAAGTTCAATTAAAAAGCATCTTATGGACTACCGACATAGTGTTGACGCTGTCAAGTCATTCAGTGGTGTCAGCAGAGAAACAAATAGAAAGATGAGCAATATTTGCAGAGGCTTGTGTATGTGCACAAAAAGAAAATGGTGGTCACTTTGACTCTACTTTGGTAATATCATCTTATTTATTAATTGTTATTACAATGAATATTGTATTCCATCTCTTATTAGTATTATTATTTCTGATCCACTTAAAACTTTACTTTGACACTTCGATTATCTCAACTCGTTTTACTATTATGATTATTATTCACTTTGCAATTTCTGACATTTTCAAGTTCTTTCTCAGATAAATAGTTGTTTGTTTAAGTGATGTGACTGAACCATACTGAATTAGCTAAATGTTAATCATCCATATCTATCCGTATATAACCTGAGCAAGACTCATACCTGTCGTTTCGCATGATTGATTCAATGTAGTTTATTTACTTATCACTCACATATATCCCCCAATGTAATTGTAATAGTATACATATATAGTAAAGTATGTAGACCAACTAACCGAAGAGTTCTACCAAAATTCGATGAATTTACTAAATCCTGCTTTATTAACACTTGATGATCGTTTTAACCTACAGTTACTTGACTGATAGACAAGAAAGATGCGTCAGTTTATAAAGTCATGAATCTGTACCAATCATAATAGCTGAAGAGCAAGGAGGCTGTAAGTGCACACTGCCTAGACATATAAATATTACTGAAACTATTTTCAAATAAGGTTACTTGTATAGCATGTTCTAACACAAAGACAGGCGAAGTTCAAAAACAGCGTCCCAGGAGTGCAAACGCTCCAATGACCTTGAACGCATGCTAGTCGTTGGCTAACGGCACCTGTCATTATCATAGCTGAAATATCAATGATATTCACCATCTTTGGAGAAAATTTCACCCAGATCACGTTTTTAAGTACTGTTTGGACAATGTGTTAATAACTCGTTAGGGTTAGGGTTAAGGTAAGTATTAGGGGTAGGGTTAGGATAAGGGTTAGTGTTAAGTTTAGGGTTACGATTATGGATAGATTTAGAGTTGATGACATTTATTTTAATTTGTTTTCTTATTCACATTTTCCTGGTAAGTAGTCGTCGATCCTCTTACTGGAAACCGTAGTAATTCAACCGAGGGCTTTTGGGGAAGACTGCACAACAGGATAAAAGAGATAGACGATTCACAAAAACAGCTCATCTTTAGTCACCTCGGTGAATACATGTACAGAAACTAGTCCAACATAGCCACTGATACTCCCCATTATAACTGGGACGTATTTTTAAGTCATGTCAGAGAAAGATAACCTGTTTAATGTGTTTTCATGCATTTTCTTGTAAATATACGTCATTTTTGTGCAAAAATTCCTGATTTTTATGATTGGTCGGCTGAAGGTCACTCGTGCGTTCCCATCCTTTGGGACGCTATTTTTGAACTTTACCCAGAGACAAACAGTAACAAGAACGATATCACATCATATTGTCGCTTCAGCTTCTAAGTGATATATGTATATATAATTGATTAAAAATAGAACAAAGTGGAGATGTGTAGACGAAGCCTTAGGTTACGCTCGGAACACAAGAGAATAATAATAATAAATATATAAGGGCATTCATGCATGAACATTTAATGATTCTACATACCTTGTGTAATATATCCTTCCATTTTTCATCCTTGTGTTGAACATGCTTTGCATAAAATTCTTTGTGTCTATTCATCATCTTCAACTGGATCAACAGTAGCAAGATATCTTCGACTCTTTAACACGTAATCAACACGAAAATTGTAATAGAGATAAAAGCATTCAAGATACATAAAAATGAATGCAGAAAAACACTAACTGGAGAATCAGCTACTTCTAAGACGTATATATGTATATATTCTTATTTACAACTGAGCAATTTACAAATAATAAGTCTGATTCCATGTCTTACCAGTCCACCCAAGTATCTAGCCAAAATTCGGGTGGTTTGAACTATTGTGGCATTCTGAAGTCAGTCACTCGGTGAAAGGCGCTGAAAGGCTTAATCCTTAATGAGCGAAACGGCCGTCCAGTGTTCAGAAACTTTGATTTGGTTAGCAAGCACTACTGCTAGATATGAGTGGCACCCAAATACTCCCAACGTAAGTAGCCAGTTAACTAAACACCTATTGCAAACAGTAATGTTAGCATTGACTACTGAGCAATGTTTTACGCTGATTGGTGAAGCTAGAATGAATTGAGTTATTATGTTGACAAACTCTATGCATCCTAAATAATCTGATCAGCTGACCACGTATTCCAGTTAAACACATACCATAAGATTTATATTCAATCTTTTCAAAATATGTCAACATGAGTTGGAAACAACTTCTGTCAGTAATCTCATTATTATTATTATTGTATCCTTTAATTCCTAGAGGAACATAGGGCTTCAGCCGTGCGTCTCCATTGAGTTCGGTTCTCTGCTAGAGTCTTCACCTGACTTCAAGTCTGCCCACACGTTTTCATCTCCTCTTCACATGACCTCCTCCAAGTCACCCTTGCACTGACGACCAACTCGCCGCTTCCCTTTCGGGTTCCACTCGAGCAATTGCTTGTCTAGTGATGTCACTAGATGGTTTCCTTAGAGTATGGCCAATCCATCTCCATTTCTTCCTGCCTATTTGTTTCACAATCGGTTCCTGGTTGGTTCGCTCCCAGATATCTCTTTGCTGATCTTTTCTGGTTGGCCATCTGATCTTGAGTATTGAGCGAAGACAACTGTTAATGAAGGTCTGTAGTTTGTTTGAGATGCTCTTTATGACGCGCCAAGTCTCTGATCCGTATAGACCTATAAATATCTCACGAGTGAAATTACCTTTTTAAGAGTCAAAATATCCGAAAAGACAAGTTCTGTAGGTTCAAAAAGTGTAACAGCTTGTAATACACTTATGGGACTAAACGTCAACACTTATTTATTTTACGCTTCATTCACAATATGATTTTTAATACTTCACAAGTCGACTTCAAGATAAAACTATGATCACATATTGAGCAGAAAGAAAGAAACTTACGCCAATGAATAGCATTTATGAAAAGATTATAAAGGATACACGGGTCAAACAGTATTAGACACTACAAGATGGTTGATCGAAAATTACTTCTAAAAAGTAGTACAGAAGCCTATTTAGTTTGTCCAATTTTCACGGTCAATTGACTCTTCTATTAACAGTAGTTATTTTGAGGGTGTTTATATTTTTAATATATTTATGCGTTGAAGTTTCTGTATCAGTTTGGTTAAGTTTTGGGGGTGGAGTTGCTAGCACCACGCCCCAACCCTCCCTCTTTATCCGGGCTTGAGACCGGCTAGAAAGCTAGCGAGCTAGTAATCTAGCCGACAAGAAACTATGGGAACAAACAAAACAAGAACCAATCACCCAACAAAAATGCAGGAGAAAGAAGTGGAGATGGATTGGACACTCGCTGAGGAGGCCGTTGGGTGACATCGATGGGAATCACCACGATGGCAGACCGGACAAGAAGACTCTAGAAAATTTCGACTTCGCAGATGATTCTTTTATAACTGCTTTGACACAGACTCAAAAATCTATGGGTGAGGACCAACAAGTTGTCAACAGCAGTATCACGAGCAGTGGAGATAGGACTTCAAGTCAACATAGAGAAAACAGGTGATGAAGATACCTGGTCAACAACAACAAGCATCAATCACTATCAGCTGGAGAAATTTGAGGGAAGTCATAATTTTCGCTTATATCAAGGCAGCATCGTCTCAACTATAGGTGGCTCGAATAAAGATGTCCAAACCGGGATCGGAAAAGCAGTGCAGACGTTCATCATTCTGAAATCAGTGTGGAAATCTGCTGCATTCAGCATAAGGAGCAAGATTCATATCTTCAACACTGATATCAAGTAAGTCAGTGCTTTTATATCATTCAGAGACTTGCCATGCGCGTCGCCAAAAGCATTTCTAACAGGCTTCCAACCAACAGCTTTCTTCGCCCGATACTGAAGATCAGATGGGCAGAAGGAATTAGCGACAGAGGACTCTGGGAACGGACTAAAGCAGAACCCAACAATTATATATATCAAAGAAAATGAAGACGGATCGGACACATGCTGAGTAAACTGTTGAGTGGTATCGCACGCCAGGCAGATCTTCGACTGAAACCTGAATGGGAAACGACGAGTTAGTCGTGAGTCTGAAGGTATGCGGAGGAGACGAGAACTTTTGGACAATCGTAGACTCAAATATAGACGACTGCAGAAAACAGAATGAAATGGAGACATGCTGTTGAATTCCACAATAGATAAGTCTGTTTTAAATATCACACAGTGATACAGTATGCCTAAAACTGATAGTCGTGGTATGTAATGCAAGGGACTATCAAAATTCATAAAGCAGGATACCCCATCAGGCCAATAGTTGACTTTAGGAACACCCTGACGTACGAGTTATCTAAGTATTTAGCATCAGTGTTATGCCCCATTAGAGATAGATCAAATTCTAGGCTAACTAATTCCCATGTAATGAAACAGAAACTAGGGGAAATTCAATTAGAAAACGATGAAAAAATGATTGGTTTTGACATAACCAGTTCACATACTAATATTCCCACTAATACAGCTCTGGAGGCAGTTAGGAATGAACTTAAAATTGATCCTGAACTCAAAAGTAGAACTAAGCTCTCGACTGATGAAATGCTATTAGGTGTTCAGTTATGTTTAACCTCCATTGTATTCAACTTTCACAATAAACTATATTAACAAACCAGTTGGATGGCAATGGGATCACCAATATTCCCAATAGTGGCAGACATATTTATGAATATTTGGGAACGTAAAGCTTTTAGAACGTTTAATCCCGCTGCTTCTAGGTTATGGTGGAGACATATGGATGATACATTTACTGTGTTGAAATCTGAACATATCCCTCAGCTTTTCACACATATAAACTCAATAGCAGGCGGAATCCGATTCATTTCTAAGTTAGAAAACGAACAGGGTGAGTTGGCTATACTAGACTGTAGAATAAAATGAAAACAAGATGGTGAGTTAGATACTAGCATTTACAGGAAACCGATACACTCTAATAAGTACTTAAACTTTAATTCATCTCATCCAGAATCGGCAAAGATAAGTTTAGTTAAATGTCTATATAATCGGGCCAAGAGCCTAACTAGAGGGCCAGAAGATTTAAATAATGAAATCAAACAAATAAGGGAAACATTACAATTGTATAAGTACCCACCAAAATTTATTCAGAAATTTATGAAGAACCATAGAAAAACTAAGATGAGCAATACAAATGACGAAAATAAAATAAAATTCAAAGCCTTTGTAGTACTGCCGTATAAAGAAGGAACGTCAGAGGCCTTATGTAGGATTCTCAATGAGGCTGGAATTAAGGTGGCATTTAAACCAACCAACCAACTCTCTCAGAGATAAACTTTGTCAGCTTAAGCACCCGCCCGACTGATCCAATTAAGAAAAATAATATTATTTACCAAATACCATGTAATGACTGTTGCTGAGGTCAATTACATAGGTCAAACTGGTAGATCAGGGTCAATTAGATTATTGGAATATATAAAAATTTAATTAGACATAGAATAATTGACTCTGCTAAGTTTAATAACCTAGAAAAAGCTAAACCATTGCTGTAGTCACAAAATAGGGAGGGTGGGATAGGGTGAGAGTATGAAAAAGTAATATAGTTAGGTGGAGAGGTTAATCACTGAATCTTTGTTTATCGATTCAACACCGCACAAGTGCAATCGGAATGATGCAACGTCTATATCGGGGACATGGAAGGTGACAACAAACAACAAGGGGAAGCTGGAGAGACAGAAAGGGAGGAAATATATACAAGACAAATTGTGAAACCGTGTAACTAAATTGGTATGATTTAGAGCAATAACTTATGCTCGAAACATCATGGAGCTGTTAATAATTCATAGCTGTGTGATATTTAAAATAAACTTATCTAATATGGAATTACATTCTACCACAGTGCTCAAATTCTACACCTACATACATGCTGTCGAAGCCCCAGGTTCCACTCGGAAGGAACTTAAGGGAATAATAACATAATAATAATGATAGTATACTGGTACTCTTTTTCATAATAATAATGACTGCGTTGTTACTAAACCAAACATATACACACAACCAAAGTTAAATAAATAAATGACGAGAAAAAACAAGTGTAGTACTTTTAAAAAATATACAGTTTATTTACAAAATGAACACATTACACAATTATTTTTGATATATATTCAAGCAGAGAAAAAAAGGTAATAAGTGAAGAGAGTAGCAAAATGAGGAAGAAAAATAAAATGCATTAAAATATATATATATACACAATATATACAATATCATTGTTAATTTATCCAAACAAATCACCAACTGTAGGTAGCGGATCTAAGCCGAGATCTGTCACATCGGGCAGCAGGTGTAAATCAGGCAGATTTAAGATATGCTTATTTAATTCATCTCTTAACGCCTCTCCATGATCCAATTTAGCTTTTAAATCCTAATGGAAACAATGGATAGAAAACAGATGAATTAGACACTGAAAATGAATGCTATTCAAAAGTGAGGGTACTCAGTGAAATACTAACCAACAAGTTGGAGAGATAGAAGCTTCGAAGGACTTTTAGTGCTGGTAAGTTGCAACTCACATTTTTCACACGATTGGTTGTGATTCCAAAACTGTGAAAGACGAAGTGCCTAGAAGCAGGCCACCTCTAATTGTATCTATCAATTCAGCTGCGCTTGTGGAGACAGTTATATTGGCCATTATTCTAGGATCTTAATCTTTCCTGTTTGCGAACACCTACCAGCATGGCTAAATAAAAGTGTTATTAAAACCAACAGTTTTATACTACATCACCTCGATCAAATAGGCCACCGCAAAGTTAGGACTGAAGAGCCTTTCTCTGTCATCTATCGAATACCGCATAAATTGACAAAGGCCTCTAGATACCGAATAGTCCAAACAGGTGTTGACCGGTGCGATTCGCTTAAAATAACCGGAGATCCGTGTGCAAAAAAGCAAAACAAGTCCAGCCACTATTACTACTCTGGCGCCTGTTGTGGAAGCTATAGATGATTATTCCCTTGTTTTGATAACTCAGAGTGTCTGGAATGAATGTTTTGCAAAGCTAATTAAATTGACCGTCATCCGCCTAATCTACTAGCCGGTTCTAAACCCGGAAAAATGAAGGAAGATGGTTGGCCATCGGGTAAACACAACCCTATCGCTACTAAATTGTCAAAGTATACAAAAATGAACTTATTCACTCTGCTAATCTATTATCAAGTGCGTAACATTGTTCCCACACACTGAAAAAAGTGAAAAACAACAACGGAGTACGATAATAAAACTGAGTATTATCTTATTTCAAAGAATAAACAACACTATCCAGTACAGTATGCTAAAGTAAGGTAAAACAATCATAATGTTCAGCGGCTCCTTTTTTAATTTAATAAAATGCCCAAAACATCTTTATATATATATTTTTTTTCTGTGCGTTGAAGTTTCTGTACCGATCGGGTTTATTTCCTGGAGTAGGGTCTCTAACCCCACACCCAACCTTCCCATTTTTTTCTTGGCTAGTAAACTAGGCATTCCTAACAGGCTATTGCAGACTTTTGTCAACAGCTGCCTTCACTGGTTTCATCATACCGAAGATCAGATGACCAGCCTGAAGGGATGATCAACAACGAACTCTGATAGGCAATGAACCAACCAGGAACCTATTGCCCAATAAATTTGTCGAAGAAAAAGGAAATGGATCTGACACACTCTGAAGAGATTGTTGAGAGACATTATGCGCTGGACTCTCGAACGGAAATCGACGAGTTTGGCGTCCAAGGCCAACATGGAGAAGATTGTGTTAGGAGGAGATGAGAGGTCAAAGGGAGTTGTGGGGTCAGCTAAAGACGACTGCAGAAAACAGGATAAAATGTAGAGATGTGATGTTGAACCCCTATGTTCCACCCGGAAGGAACTTAAGGGAATAATAATAATAATGCAATTTATCTTTCTGGAGTTTGACATACAACTTTTGAACAATGAAAGCTAAAAGATTAGCATTTATATGATCAAGGGTTTTATCATTAGGGACTATCTTTAGCAGTTTATCCCAGAGTATATATATGTATCATATATCTTTAATTATAATCAATGAGGCATGCTAAGCTAAACTATTTAACACTTTATAACAGAGAAAAAAAGTCAAACATACATCGACTTCTGTTTTAGCTTGTGTAATTCTTTCTTTTAAATGACTATGGAAGGCACGAAGTTGTAAGGCTAATTGATTTCTTTTATTTGTCTCTTCTTCTAACAACTGATTATAGTCGTCTAGTCGAGAAGAACATTGACCAATACGTTCAATCAATTCTTGTTGAGCTTGCTCAGATGCTATAGAACAAATAAAATAGTAGGAAAAGATTATATCTTCTGGTTAGTCATACGAAGAATACGAGACATTATGAACTTAACAAAACTCATGAAAATTAATCTGATGATCAGTTACAGGATTTCATCATGAGCTGAAATCGGGCATCGGGGGGGGGGGCCATGAAGACAAATACTCACCACGTATGACATTGGCTAGTGACCGCGCTATGCCGTGAATTGGCAGAAGCTGAAATTCATGGACTATCCATTGGATCGGCTCCCAGTGGCTTAATGGTACACGAGCTCGCCTTGTAACCAGAAGGTCCTGGGTTCAAACGCTGGTGGTTGGTGCGTACCGCTGAAGAGCCCAAACGTAGACTGACGAAACGGCTGTCAAGTACCCTCTGCAGGCTTTCCAATGGTTTTCTCACCAATGTCAGCTCATGATGAGATCCTGTAACCAATCAATCAAATCCCTATAAACCAATACTTCAATAATCTGATGATCGCTAGTGACTGGCTGCAGGAAGAAGGTGCTTCGGGATTTTGTGAGAAGTCGTGACTAGTGGGGTCAACCAGGTCAAGTGAGAGAACAGACACCAGCCGATAACATTGACTGGGGGGAGAGCGAAGATTGTGAATTGACGGAAGTTAGAATTGATGGGCAATTGGATTCCATCAAATTGGCTGAATGGTCAACGAGCATGACCTCGTAGCCTGAAGGTCTCAGTTTCTACCTCAGGGAGGTCGTGGGTGAGCACTGTTGGAGAGTCACAAACTAGAACAGAACACACTATGCATTATTCAATATATCAAAAACCTACCAATTTAAAAGCTCAAACTTCTGACTGTTCACTAAATAGTGTCATCAGTGAGTAGTTTTCGTTAAAATCAACTTAGCAGAGTTACTAATAATGCTTAAAAAAAGTTTATTCTTTCAATGACTGATTGGTTTCAACGTAGAACTTTGTACAGATGTGCAGCGGTTCGAGTTGCTACACTCTTTCGCTTACGAGTATACTGATTTGAAAAGTAAATTAACTCAGAGATTTAGTACAAATTCACGTAATATGATATGGGCTACGCTTTATGCATTAGGATGTATGGCATTACTCGGTTTACTATAAAACTGTACACTTCAAATTCAACTGATTGATAGTGACTGGTTAAACTGCAACTATCTTAATACCTCTTTTAGACTAGTGAAGTTTATGGTTTGAATGATTAGTCGCATAATATTATTATTATTATTGTTCCCTTGGGTTCCTAGTGGAACATAGGGCTTCAACTGCACGTCTCCACTTGCTTCTGTCTTCTGCTGTACTTTTCACCTGCATCCATGTTAGTCCATACTGTTTCAGCTCCTCTTCACACGATCTCCTCCATGTCACCCACCCTTGGACGTCCCACTCGCCGCTTCCCTTTCGGGTTCCACTCGACCACTGGCCTGACGCGTGATGTCACCCAGCGACTTCCTCACCCTCAGAGAGTGTCCAATCCATCTCCACTTTCTCCTGCATATTTGTTGAGCGATTGGTTCTTGTTTTGTTTGTTCCCATAGTTTCTTGTTGGTGTTTCTTTCCGGCAATCTGATCTTCAGTATAAAGCCAGCGAAAACAGTTGTTGATAAACGTCTGCAACAGGCTCTTGGAAATATTCTTTGTGACCCGCTGGCCAAGTTTCTGATCCGTATAGAAGAACTGACTTGACGTTTGTATTGGAAATCCGAATTTTGTTGTTGATGCTGAGTGACGAAGATTTGAACACGATCTCCAGATTGGTTTCAGGTTGATGAATGTGTCTCTCGCCTTACCGATCCTCGTCCGTTCCTCCTGTAGTTGAGACAATGTTCCCTAGATAAGTGAATGAAGTAACCTCTTTCAAATCCCTCCCGTTGATGATGATTGGCGCTGGATGTTGCTGCTGCTGTTGTTGTTGGTTTGTTATTTAGTCACATAATTCTAGGGTAAAATAGACTAGATGAAGATAAAACTTCGATGAATGTTAACTGAACCAGAACATTTGAGTGACTCAAGTGAAAATGACGACAAATGATGATGATAGGAGAGAACACAATTAACTTACAAGATTTCATGATTTCCATCGCTTTATTTGGATCTGAAACCTCTGGTGGAAACTGAGCTATTTCACGACGTGTAGCAGCGTCAGCCGAGGCAGCGGATTGAAGAGACTCTAGAAGCTGAATAAGCTCATCAGTCTAAAGAAGACAGATGAAATGGTTTCAATTATAAGTTAACAACGATAACGATCAATACTTGCATAATATTCTACAACAAAATGCTTTCAAAAACAATGTAGCACTTGAAAAACGTAATGAAAGCTCAGGAGAAAATTTTCGCATAGTTATAATTTAATTAATCCACTGACTAAGGGATCAGTTTCGCAGAGTTCTGTTGGCAAATTGTGACTTTCGTGAGGAAGAATACTCGTCAATGACATCTCGTGGAGGTGGCACCATATCGCTAGTCGACAAAAGTAGAAATTCATTGATATTTAAAATTCAGACATAGAGACATTTATATCATTATGAAGTTTGTGTTGCATCCTATAAAAACCTCCAACTATTACTCCTGTTAACTGAAGGATCCAAGCCACCACGTTTCTAATGTATCATGCAGATACATCCAATAGGAAAATACAATCTCATGGATAGTGTGATTGGTCGCACAAGAACCTAAGATAGTAATACCATCTTCAAATGGTGTTATTTACATATGTGAGATGAAATTTAACTGTAAAATCTTCTAATTGATATAAGGATAAAACTTGGGCATTGTGGTACAGTATAACTCCGCTTTGAATAAAATTTTATTTTGATAAAATCACTCAGTGTCATACAGTAATATTTACTGATGACCACTTTTCGAGCACAATTTATTGCTGCTCATAATCATACCAAGGTACTCACACAACTTTCTTGCTTCATTTATATACATGAGTAAAATTTGATTAGACATTTGAATAAAATCAATATAAGATAAAGTACATTCGGAAATAATATTAGTGTTATCAATAAAATACAGTCAGATGGGAAATAAGATGTTTTTATAGTAAAACTCAATAACTTGTTAGAATATCATACTGTGAATTGAATACATTTTAACATTGTTTATTATTCTCTGGTTTGACTGGTAATAGTATCTTCCATATCTCTGGTATTTGCGTTGAGTCACTTCTGTTGTATGTGCAGGGTGTATACTCAATGAACCAGGATTCTGTAGTCAATCTCTCTCGCCACCTACCTATATTACTTTTTAGAATTTTGACTCTGTCCCACTCTATTGTGTGGTTGTGTGTTAATGCATGCAGTGTTATTGTTGAGTGTTTTCTAAATTACTTATCTTCGCGGGTGGGGTCAGCCATTCTTACATTAGCTAAATTCTAATGTTCTGATAATCTCACTACTCCTCATCTACTAGTTTGACCTATGTAGTTGACCTCACTCACAGTCATTGCAAGGTATTTTGAGTATTATACTATTTTGTTTAGTTGGGTCATCAGGGTCCTTTAGCCTACAATGCTTGTCTCTGAGTGAATTTGCAGGTTTGAATGCCACCCTAAATTCTGCTTTATTGTGAATCCTACGTACGGTCTCAGATGTCCCCTCCTTATATGGTAAAACTGTAGATGCCTTATATTCTTTCTTATTTATGTTATCATTATTAGTTTCACCATCATTTTTATTTTGCTTTTGATCTTCCTAATGAATTTTATAGGATAGTTATTCAACACCAACCAGAGATACGGAAGATATTATTACCAGTCAAATCAGGGGATAATAAATAATGTTAAAATGTGTTTTCATTCACATTATAACATTCTAACAAGTTACTTATTTTTACTATAAAAACATCTTATTTCCCATCTTACTGGCTAACAGCACTCTTCTTATTCTGCCATTCTATTGTATTTGATTGATAGCACTAATATTGTTTACGAATGTACTTTATCTTCCTTTATGTTCTACGCATGTCTTATATTGATTTTATTCAAATGTCTAGTCAATTTTTACTCATGTATATAAATGAAGCAAAAAGTTGTGTGAGTACCTTGATATGATTATGAGCAGCAATAAATTGTGCTCGAAACGTGGTCATCAATAAATATTACTGTATAACACTGTGTGATTTTATCAAAATAAAACTTTATCCATAATGGAGAAAATCTTCTAATGTTAAATAGAATTCTTTGTCTTATGTTAAGTTATACAGTTTTCCTGTTAAATGAATCCGAATATGAGGATTAGTTGAAACTTAGCTCAGGTGCCTGTCCGCATGAACATTTAAAGAACATCACATTATCACTTAGGGTATAAATAGTACTAGTCGGTTATAAGTTGTGAACATATATAAACAAACATACCTTTGGAGGTTGGGTAGCTTCAGTTTGTAATTCTAGATCTAATTCTTTTCGAAACGCTGAAATTGAATTAATTGACAAATTATTGCTTTCATAATTTTCAGGATCAAAGGACACAGGCGCCATCAAGATATTTTGTGTTGAAGAATGATGTCGTTTATGATTATCCTTGTTATTCATCAATTTCGGTGTTTGAAGAGCGTTAACTGAAGCCTCCTTATTCCCTGCTACTGTTGGATTCAATAAAACTGCCGTGAATGAGAAAGCGAATGGGGAAGCAGCAATAATGTTGCGTTTCTGTGTATAAAATTTAAAAAAAGATTACAAGAAGAAGTCTGCTGTGTAGTGAGTGATGTGATGATGTCAGTGGCAGTTTTGTGTGTGTGTGTGTTTGTGTGTGTGCTACGTGTAACATTTACTATGCAAAGAAAAAACTTTATCAAACCACTCACTTATTTTTTAGCGTTCGCCTTTCACAACCAATGGGCCCCTGGTTCGAATTCCACTCCACCTATGTCAACCTGAGGAACTGAGTGGTACCACTAACTCCCTCACGCAATGAATGTGATTCATTATTTACAGGATTGATCAGGAGCTGACAGCAGTTAAAGAACCATTGGAGAACCTGTAGGGAGTACTGGACATGTGTTTCGTCAGCCTAGTTCCGGACTTTTCATCAGCACCACCACCAGGGTTCGAACCCAGGACCATCCGGTTAAAAGACCAGCTCATAGACCATTAAGCCACTGGGAGCCGATCCAATGGCCAGTCCATGAATTACAACTTCTGCCGATTCGTGATATATATATATATATATATTTAGTGCAACTGCGAGACAATGTCACAGGTGAGTAACTGTTCACTTGCCTGACTTGGTAGACACCACTGGCTACAACTTCTCACTAGAGCCTCAGCTAACTTCTTGTATGGAGCCAGGCGTTACTGAGCATCAGATTACTTATCAAGTGTTGGGTTCACAGGAATTTGATTGGTTACAGGATCGATCACGAGTGCGTACATGTAAAATCTACTTCAGGGCGAAAAAGTTCTAACTAACTGTGCGTCGGTGGCACAGTGGTAGAATGCTCGTCAACCATGCATGTGGTCCGGGTATCGATCCCCGGCCGACGCATTCCTTCACCTCGCTAAGCCAGTAATAAAACTGGTAATTAGGGAAGGTTGGGCATGAGGCTGGCAACCCCAACCCGTAAAAATAAACACCACTGCTATTGAAACTTCAAGCCTTTAGCTTGAAGCCCTATTTTCCACTGGGAACGTGAAGGAATAAAAAAAACACTTATTGATACAAGAAGTTTGAATATATAATTTAACTGTTTTGAATGGAATGCTCGAATAATGAAATATATGCGTTTACTTTTCAACAAACTTTTGTTCTCACTCTAAATATGTTTAACGTCGTATTCCATGAACTTTGATTTTTTTAAAGAATCATACTAGTCTGTGAAATTTATAATAATGATGATAATTATGCAGATGGTCTAATATTTACAGAACTAATACACTAACTACATAATTAAATAATTTCGACTGGTATATTAAATCCAGATTCTTGAGTTATTTTCTAGAGCCAGACCTTAATCGAAAACTCCGAGTACTTTATTGATCGTCGACGAAAACCCAAAAATTTAGTTGGTTGATTGGCAGAGTGATAATCAGATGGTTAAGAATCAGGGATTAGTTTCGTTTCAATTTGCTATACCACACCACTAACAGACCAATACTCATTTTCCACAATCGTTTGGATTTCGGTTGGTTGGGGGATTTCTAAAAATTATCCACTGAGATCTGAAACATAATCTGCATTGTTGTTAGATGATTGGAGGCAGTCAGCAGGAAGGCAGGGTTAGGACTGACAAGCTTCTTTGTTAGCCACGAAGTCATGATTTATGCATATGATAAAGTGGCGATGGGGTTATTCAATCCAACGCCAATGATCCTAATGTGCCAGAGGATAAGAAAGAATTCTCTATACAAGAACCTTTGTTTTATTTGACGACAAAAGTCTTACAAAGTCATTATGCTTTATCCATTACAGCACTAAAAATGTGTGAAGTTCACTCTTGCTGTAGCACCAGAATTTGTTTCATGAAAGCTTCATCGAAAGAAGGTAAAACATTGAATGCAGACAGTATTAAAGTTGCAGCTGTAGCCTTAGTCTTACCCAATAAAGAAGCAACTGTGAAGAAGGTAAAAACGAGTTCGGGGATACTTAATACGGCCAAGTCTAGGACCACCAAATTTCACGACCAGTATAATACTGACCATACTGTTATATACCCTAAGTTTTACTTAACCCTAAAATGATTATATTTCTCAGTAACACGCTAAAACCGGTTTAAAACAGAATCGACAATTTAAGCCCTTAGGCTGAGACAGAAGATATTATTATTATTTGACTGGACAACCTTTGACATACGACCCCATACATGAATCAGTTTAATTATTACTAGTGTATTTATATGATGTACTTTTTATCTAATTAAGTTGTGCTTCTCATTGTCACGGGTCAGTTTTGTCTTCTGATTTTTCTGTGGGCCCAAGGCCGCAGAAAGTATTTTGCCTATTGCATTCAGTATTGAGTTAAAACATGTCCTCAATTATAAGACTTTTCAATTTTTGCCAAACCGCCGTAAAAGACAATCATCACCCCATGTCATTTGTGTACACTTGTCTTTACATACTACTTGGTTAACTTTATAAGTCCTGACTTCCCACCAAAAGTTTACAAAGCACGTCTCGACGCATTGAACTGCTGTGTGACTATGTGCTTTACAAGTCAGTACTTTCTAAATCACCAACTAGATAACAATGTGTTTTGTGCAGCCTGAGGATGTTGAATATGATTTAATACATCAATGAAAAAGATAATTATCCACATACAAATTAGATGAACCTACCACACTCGTGAAAGGTATTTGATTTGCATATTTATGTGAAGTTGCACAGAAGTTGATGCCTATAGTGGAGTTGTATATTCTATCCATTAAAGCTTAGACTTGTAGAGCACTCATGCTATGAAAATGATACGGATCACCAACACAAAATTCAATTGATGAATGATACATTCAAAGTCTATAGAAAACAGTCAAAAAGTACATACTTTACTCATTAAGTTTCCGATGCCGACATCGAGCAAGTATTCTCTGATAAGGGTGTTTGTAACTTAGGGTGTGAATTTCTTGACTTAGTTACCATGTGAGTGTTTTATACCCAGCTAGATATTTGTCAATCATACGTAATGGACAAAATTAGTGAAACCACAACCCAAAATCCGTGAAACACCTGATAAAGTGGTAAGATTAAAAAACAAACTTTTAACAGATTTAATCTATAAAGCAACTAGAACTAATATACGTGTCATCAATGTGCTTTTCGAGAGAAATAATGTCAGTGAGACAAATTGAAAGCAGTGTATAACAAACTCCAAACAAAGAATTTCTTTTGCTATCATATCACCGAAAAAATAAAGTAGTTACTACGTGTTGGTAAAGATTTATAAACAGTGATAAGGACATCAAATAGCAATGCATCTAGTTAGTCAAGGTAATAAACTTACGATCTCTTCACTAGCATTTGGAGTGTCAGCCTCGGCAACTGCTCGTTGGCAAATGAAGCGTAGCTGTCTTAGAAAACTTTTAGAATATACCCGACGAGTCGCCCATACAATTAGAAGATGTGCGACAGATGAACGTACTGAATGACGTTGGACCCTGAATAAAATGACAATTAAAATTAAGCAGTTTCTCATATCAGCAAATTTTTTAACTAAAATAATGACAACAAGTAGTCTAATGTAAACCACTATTTTGAAACTGGTACCTAATGAAACCTGTTTAAGTTGAAAAGAGGGAATTAGCTGTCAGCGTTAATCATTGATCTTGATTTGTTGACGGCCTCAGTCATGCTAGGTTAGTTGGTGAAGGAACTCCAGGCCCAGACGATGCTGATTTTTTTCGCCCGTATATGGGTGTAGCCATATGCAGTGCTGTTATATATGCTTTTGAAATATAGTTGGAGAGGTGAGGTGACGGGCACGTGAATACTATTTTTGAGAGGTTAGTAATATGACTTATGTTGAAGTCGAGTGTGAAGGTGTAGGTGTGTGACATAACTGCGGTAACGTAACAACCGATAGGAGAGAAACACACTGTACACATCCAGCGACCATCAATGATCAGATAAGATATTAGTTTTGGTGGATAAGCGCTTATGATTTCCAAAATTACATCCAATCAAAGTTAAATTAAGCTGTCATACTTTGAACACATCGACACAGCTAGAAAGAAGCAAACTAATAAGTTAATTTTAAGTGTTTACTTTGATATATAAGTGCTGATGAACATTCTTAAAAGTTCTACAAAACAGATGTGCATTTCAGCAGAGCAAAGAAAGTAGTATGCTTGAGAAGACTGATGGCCGACTGATTTGATGTACAATTATTAATGGCTAGTTAGTTGTATTCATTTATTACAACATATCTTGTATACAAAAATAAGAAGTGTGGGGAATGGAAAACTTCCATCTCACTTAGAAGACTTGGCTCCGAAACATAGAATCATTGATTATTGACCTGAGTCACGTAGAGGAGTGAAACCTGTCCAACAAAGTTCCACAGGACGATCTAAATACACTGAAGACTCAAATATGACATGGCACTGTACTGATTATAATCGGATGGACTACTTAATATGCAATCCCTATTTTGACCTTAACATGAGACTTATGTATTACTTTGCATTTTCATATTGTCTTATGAAATTTTACGAATCTTTTGTTTTATCTTAGTTATACCTGATATGGAAACGAGAACTGTGATAACTTGAGCCACTGAACGTTATTCCACACCCTATGGTGGTAATATCCATCTACTATAAGCAAGTCTGATGCAGAAAGAATATGATATCCCTTCGGTTGGTGACAATGATCTGATCAGACTTATACTATCATTATTACATAAATTTTATTTTATTTTCGTTCCCAGTGGAACATATGGCTCCAAGCTAGAGCTTTGAAGTTACAGCAGTAGTGGTGTTTTTTACGGGATGAGGTTGCTAGCCCCACACCCAACCGTCCTCATTTAATGGGCTTATTACCGGCTAAGCGAGGTAAATATATGCGTCGGCCGGAGGATCCAGCCCTGGACCACTTGCACAGTTGGCCAATGTTCTACTAATAAGTTACCGATGCTATTACATAAAACAAAGTGCTAATTAGTAGGACCCTTCTGCACCTGATGAAAACATATGCTCCATAGTCCGAAACGAGGAAGTACTGTTTAACAAGGTGCAGATTCAATCATATGTTTGAAGCAAAAGTCGTTACCTTAATGAATGCACACATTTCTATTTATTTGTGAAAAACAGTAAATACAGTTCTGTGCTACAGATAAAGGTGTTGGGTTGCTTGAAAAACTAATTTTAAATATATCATTACGATAAAAACTGGGGAACGTAAGCATACTAAACATACAGAGTAAATCTGATTGTTGATAAGTACATGTACAGTCATTCTTATTATATGTCTCCTTTCAACATATTTTTTTCATGATTACACAGCAAATTACCCGAACGTTACGCCACTTTTAAGATACAATTTTTTTACGTAAACTTGATTTGGCTATTTGGAACAAAACAGCTGGAATCTTTGCTGGAATATGAAGCAACTAACTTTCTAGAAGTGATATTTTATATAAGAAACTGAAGTAATCTTTTTGATCGTGTCCAAAAACCAGCTCTTTTAGGTGTAGTTACTTAACGAGGATTAACTGTTATGGATAGTGTTCATGAGAAAGCGGAACTTTCTCATTGAAACACTGGGAAATGTTACATAGAGTTTTGTAAGTTATTTTCAATGTGACATAGAAGTCTTTAAGTTCTTAAGAGACAGTTTACAGTCAACTGTATGCATTAATGTATGCAAAATGATTTAACTTTCTTCGACCAACTTCTATATTTTAGGGATTTTACAATGTCCGCAGGAAAAACGCAAATTTATCTCAAGATAAGGATGAAACAACATAAAAAGCCACACATTAAAATAAGAGAATATTGAATTAGTAGTCATTATACTGCATGGTAGGACAGAAATACATTAACAATGTACTTACTTCGATGTTTCTTTGAATGCAGTTGGTAAAACTGGCTCAAATAACTTCCTAAACTGAGGAGCTTCCATCATTCCTCTCTGAATAATGTCATTTGCAAGATGTAGAAAGGCGATCTTTTTCTTGGGGGCAGCTAAAACAGACATATTTCACAAAATATACTGGATACCTTTCCGAAATTCCTTAAACCACAACTTAACTAAATCCTTCGCCATTTCTTTATTACCCAGAAACCACTGAGATGTACTTTCCACAGAAATCTGAGAGTTATCTAGATCCTGTAACTTCTTAATGGCCTCAGACTCAGAGTAGGGCATCATGTAGCGCAACCTCCACAAAACCCGCACTATAATCCTCAGTTTGTAATTTCTAATATCAGCGACTTGGTACTTAATTTTAAAATAGACTTCATTTTAAACCTAAAAGTAAGGCAGTTAGTATGGAGTGTTTAACCATTACCGAATATCTTATAGTTATTTATGCCTAATACATTGCAAGATTGTTTTAGAGCACATCCAATATCGTTTCTACAAACTAGTGTGAACTATTTTCATTTCTTCGTGCTTGCTTCTTGATTGTGAGCTCAAGGTTCCTGGCCCTTGGTAAACTTCTCCGTAGTTCGTCCCTCCACTCGACTGTTGTAGCTTTGGTTGACTACAAAGGAGTGGTGCTGGGATTAATTATATGTAGTTTGTAGTATGTAGCACGTCAATTAACAGAATTTCTTTGTAAAAGGTGGAATGAATGTTTCTAAAACACTATGATCTTTACATAATTAATCATCATCGAAATATCATTATATATTAAGAAAAGTGCGTCGGTGGTACAGTGGTTAGGACTCTCGCCGACCATGCACATGATCCGAGGTTCGATCCCCTGCCGACGCACACCCTATATCTATGGTCGGCCTGAATTTGGGCTACCGATATCATATGCTGAAAATTCCACACTTGTACTGAAAATACGGTGTGGAATCAAGCTGTAAATCAAAATAAAAAAATAATAAAATAAATAAAAGTGTGTTGGATATGTATTGTCCAATTAACTGAAAGAAGAAAGGCGTAACTAGTATCTTCCATTATATTTTAGATGACTTTCGTGATCATCCTAAACTTTATTACCTCTAAGTTCCTCTCAGTTAAGTCATGCATCAGGATAATGGGAGATTAACTGGCTTTATATACTAGGTAGGACAGTTAACAGATAATTGGCAAGTAAAGGATAGGATGAGACGAAAACTATGGACTTTGTCAACCCAGTATTTCATATCACTCCGCGCCTAAATGTGAATTGGCTTCTGAGCAACAGGCTGAGTTACTTTGCTCTGACTGCACAACACGGTGGTAACAATTTATTTATTCTTTACGTTCCAAGTGGAACAAAAGGCTTCAAGCTTGAAGTTACACTAACTGTGGTGGCTGGCTTACCTCACTTCTATTCCGATATTATTATGAGTTAGTGAAGTAGTAGACGTTAAGAAATACTTCCATAAAGAGTCAAACACAGGCTGCTTTTGCGGTTGGTAAGCATTCTGCGACTAAATCCCGACAATGGCCGGTTTCCTAATATTTAACCGAATCCAATCCGTTTACTCAAGGGACAGAAACTTTTGCCACTATACAGTTGAGCAATAGAAAACACCTTCACATCGGGGGGGGCGAATATGTGGTACGTTAATCAGAGTCAGGAGTCCTAACCGCTAGATAATATTTTCGTCCAACTGGAATTCCTGTCCCCTTGATTCACAATCGCTATCAGGTAATTGAATTATGAACAAACTATTGCATGAAGGTCACGGCATTTTTGGTTGGCATTACCTGTAGAAGTGACAAATGTGCCAGATGTTACTTTCAAAGCGTATTGAAAGGGATTATCGTATGGAGTGTACAAACTGTGTGAAGTCTCGAAATAAGTGAAAGAAGTGTAAAAATAGTTTCGAAGAGTTGTGAGAACTATGAAAAGATATTAGTAAGGAAGACAAATTTTCAGGAAAATTCCACCAGCAAGGAATTTCACTCTTTCTAAATTCTAATTCGATTACACGGTAATGCAGCAGTCTACAGTACTTCAAGTACAAAAGTCAGCGGAAACGACGTAGTGGAACTGAACTTCTCACTGCAGTCGTTAGACTCCTCTTTGTAGCGTTATATCAGTGCAGGTGATAAGCTACGAATGTCAGCGTTAAAAAATGATAAAATAAAACAACGTAGACAGTAGGCGATCTCAGTGAAATAGATGAAACCCCCACGAATTTTGAGGGAATATTGTTGAATGCAATGTGTTGGATTTACATCGAGATTTGGTTTGTAGTGAGTTAGGTTGGTGAGGTCAGAACTAGTATTTATTTACGGGACCACAATCTGCATTCACGGAATCGCAAGGTTAGCTGTCTTGCCATTCTCCACAAAGTGATCGTGGCATGAAACGAACCTCTGCAGAAAGCAGTATGATGTGTAGTTTTAGGAAAAAGAAATTTTGCAGGGGCATAGTTGTGAACAACTCACTCAGATTACGTAGTCAGAGGTCAATATCATGGTCTTCGAAATGATAGGGAAGACTTGTAGCTCAGTTGGATGGCTTTTACTTGGCTGTAATCTCTGCGCTGGCTGATATAACTGCGAAGCTGTCGTCGTCCATTTCCACAATATCTTTAGCGCATGTCTTCACATACAGTGAACTTTTTTGAATTCTCTGTGGATGATAATTTTTTTATTTTTATTTAATAATAATAATGATTTACTTTGTTCCAAAAACAGTACTTGTGATATAGAATGGAATTTTCAGCATTAATCACAATATTGCATCTAGTTTCCTCAAATTATAAATAAAATTAATCACACAGAAAATTTTCCACATTTACAATAGGGTTTAAAATAAAAAATAAAATACATGCAGCATATAAAATGGAAATAATAATAATGATAGCAGCTAAGGTAATGATAATAATACAAGTGGAAATTGCCGTGGGCTTGTTTCACACAGTACTGTCGATGCGGTATGCAAATCCTTGCATGATTAAAAATATTGAATATGATGTTCTCTTTACATGATATGGTGAGGGAAAAAACAAAGATTACAGCAGTCATAGAGATAAGTTGGTGTTTGCAGTTATGAAAATGAAAACAAAGAATCAACAGGACCATAAATATAATAGAAATAATAAAAGTAAAACTCGAAGGTATATAAGGATGGATGGAGGAGATTGTTTATTTACTAGATGAAAAAACGTTAGTCAATTCTTGCCTGACGCTATTTTCATCACATAAAATACGTGCCAAGTATGGTATCATAGAATTTTTATACTTAGACGTGCGAGGATACAGTTTTCTGAAGTTACTTCTTGTTCTACCTGAGGAGATGCAAGGTGAAAGCTGAGGGTGAAGTGGATGCTCCAAGTCAGACAAAATCCCTTTAGCAAATTTACTGCACGAAGTCAAATGCCTATCGACAACGACGCTAACTATGTAGTCCACTGTGACACCACTCATTCTACTGACAGTCTTCAGCATTCTACGAATTGTGACAAAGTCCTTCTTAAGCAAACCAGGAAAGAATAAGGGTGAAAAATAAAGAAGAATAGGTAGGATGCAAGAGTTTATGAGCTGTAAGAGGAGAGGTTGAGTTATACCCCAGTGCCTTAACTTCTTAATCTAAAATGTCAGGCGGAATATTTTACTGGAGATCGCTGAGACATGGGAAGACCAGGAGAGATCAGAAGAGAGAATAAGTCCAAGATACTTAATTTCTGATTTAATTCCTATATCATTGTCATCAATCTTACAACTGTCATGAGAATGGACGGCTTCTTTTAAGTGTCATTTACATCTTAAGCTGAGATTAACAGTTTGACATTTAGAAGGATTCAGTTTAAGACCATTAGACTCAGACCATTTACTGATTCGCGACAGAAAGCTATTTATTTTGGTACAATCTAGCTGGGAGTTAACAGCCATTGAAACAGTTAAATCATCAGCGTACTTCACAAAGTTTATTTCATCAGACTGAGGCAAGTCATGTAAGAAGAAAGAAAAAAGAAAAGGAGAAAGGACAGCGCCTTGAGGGACACCAGCTTCAGTAGGCAACGAAGTGGAAGACTTTCCTTTATACACGGTGTACTGCTTTCTTTCTGAGAAATAAGAGTGTAACCAGTTAACAGCCCAACATTCTGTTTGACTTGCGGCAAGTTTATTTAATAAGATGTCCCTAGGGACCGATTCAAAAGCAGATGTATAGTCTAGGAAGGCACAACGAACAAATTTAGCCCCTTTGTCTAGACTGGAAGCAATGTTATGATATAAGACGGCAGCTGCATCTAAAGTGCTTCTACTGTGCTTATAGGCAAACTGTTTTGGGTCATTAAAGGATTTAAGAGAGGGTACAAGACTAAGTAAAAGTAGTGTCTCCATAGTTTTAAAAAAAGGAGAGGTAATAGCAATGGGTCTAAATTTGACACATGCTCCAGTAGTCGATTTAGGTATGGGTACAACCATAATGTCTTTCCAAACAGCAGGCACAATATTACTGGAAAAAGATTTGTTAAACAGATCAGTGAAAGGGTAACATAGAATATCAGAACATTTTTTGAAAATAATACTAGGTACATGATCTGGACCTAAGCTCTGGGAAGGGTTCAGAGACTTGAGGCACTTTTGAACATCATTTGTGTTAAAACCTGGAAAGGGGCTATTATTAACACTAGTGATACTGGGAAGCATGGAATTTGAGGGAGAATAAATAAAAGATTTATTAAGAGTACATACATCAGAAGAATACGGAATATTGTTTATCTGCTTACCACCAGTGATTTCCTTAAATAGTTTCCACATATTTGAAGCATTTTTGCAGGATATGAATTTCTGGTTATATATAACATTCAATCTCTGCATTTCAGACTTGATAAGGAAGTTAGTTCTTTTTACGCCACTTTTATCTTTCATTTTATATAGCTTTTCCTTCTCTCTACGCAGCTTTTTAAGTTGAGGGGAGGAGAAATGGTCGAATTTGACGAATAGTGTTTCTTTTGGGCAGCAGATTTCAAAACAGAATTTCAGATAAGACGTAATATTAGAGATTGTGTTATCAAGTGAAACACCATTAAACAGATCCCATCTTGTGTCACTGAGCATGTTTCTAAGATGTTGTACATTCTCATTTGAGTAACATCTGTGAACGGCTTTCTTGGACAAGTTAGAGAAGGCTTTTTTGTGTAACTTTCCGTAAACTTTGGGTAGAACTCGTACAATACAGTGATCAGAGTTTGAGAGTGGAGCTCTTTTACGAGCTTCGTATATTCCAGAATCATTTATGAATACTAAATCAAGCGAAGTATCTTGTCGAGCTGGGAATTTAACCACATTTTCATGACCCAGCAATGTAATAAAACTGTAGTCACTGGCGTTGAAGTCACCAGTTACTACAG